GGTCATGTTTCAATGGCAACATGTTAGGTAATATTGTATTGAGCTAGGAGGTTACTATGGCAACACCCAAGGACCGTTGAGCTGTCCAAGACCGTTGAGCTGTCCGGCACTCTCTTGAGAGTGCCCACGGTTGCGAGCGAGCGAGCAGACGTGGGTTGTGGCGCAGCCACAACCTTGGCACGAGTAAGCACTTCAAGAGGACAAGTTGTTGTTGGTCAATAAGGGGCTCTCCGCTATCGCTACAATGACAATCAGGGATATTTTAGATGCCGGTCATGGCTCTTTTCGAGAAGAAAGATATCTCTCAGTATGTCAATACTTTGATAATATGCCCACCGTCTCGTTTGCCGAGCGGGGCTTACCATATAAGCTCCACGACACCGAGACCGAACATCTTTATCTAGCGGAAGGAGTATTCTGCGCAGCCGCGCAGACAGTTTGAAAGGGGTTATCGTGTACGCGAGGGGGCTGCTGGTGATATAGATACGAAGAGGGTGATGTTGGACGGTGAAGGTACGGTACAGGAGGTAGTAATGAAGACATGGGCGGGGTGGGGGCGCAGGGCAAGGTGGGCATTAGCAAGTAGTGAGATCTGCGCCTGGTCTTGGAGAGATTCTAAGGAGCACTATAAAATAGACACATAAGGTTCTACGGGGGTTGCCGCCGGAGAGGTTGACAGTAGTGAGGTTTGCGGATGGGAATAGGGATTGGTGGCAGCTTGGTATCTCTCCCGCTCCCCCTTCGTTTAACATCAAGCAGTTAACATGTTTCTAGTTAATGATGTCGACTCTCCGGATATCCCACATGAAGGGCACCACAAAACACCCGCCACTCCCCTGCACCCGCGTAATACCCATTTCAACAGCCCCCCTCGACCCCTGCGGCAGAAGTATTACCACTGGCGGCGGGCGGAAATACTTCTACATCCTCTCGACAGCCGCCGTTCTAAAGCATAGCCTCAATATACGGTCACGTAGAGGCGCAGAGGTCAATGGAGACCTTCTACATCTTCCCAAATAGAAATAAAGTAGGTGGAGTATTTGAATTGGAGGTCCTCTCGTGGGGGGTGGGCGCGCGGCCATGGCCCTTGGAGGCGGCGGCACATGGAGGAGCGCTATTAACGGCCAGAATGGGATCGCAATATATCCGGTCATGCTAGGAGCTTCGGAAGCGACCGGCATGCTCTCGCCGATGGAACGAAGGAAAATTCTAAGCCCGTAAAGGTACTCGAGGGGCCAGTCACAGCAATCAGCAGTACCGCGCTCTCCCCTCAGGGCCCTCGCTATGGCGGGTCAAGGGAAGCAGGACACTTTGAAGATACATGTGTTTACGTTTCCCCCTCCCCTTTATATGGCCGGCTATCCAATAAACGGACACCTGTTTGCTGGGAGTGCATTTGCGCGGTTGTGCCAATTCCCGGGTTCCGCTCACATATTGGCTTTTGCTGGGCAGGACCACCGCGATAAGCAGGGCGGGGAATGAAACCGGCATCGTGGCTATTGGAAATAAGGCCATGGGAGATAGCATTGCGAGACACAGTCTTCACCAGACCGAAGAATTTATGGTGAAAACCTTTGTAGAAATATAGTACTTGTATATAACTAGCTACAAAAACAATCGGCAGTAATTGTAACCCTCCATTAACTCCATTTTGGACGCATAAGACTCACAAGTATCATCCTGATTATCCGCTTTCCCGTGGGCCCCGCTAGAGCGCTAAACCAACAATGATGGCTTCGAGTGAACTGGGGGAAGCGCGCGAAGATTCTTGGACCCCACTACCGCAAAACCCAATTAAGTGCGGATATCCCGCTTATGGTGGTACAACTCCAAGGAGAGTATGGTAAGTCGGGGACAGCAAGGCTCCGTCACGGCAGGCACAGCAAAGAGATCGGGACAATATGCGGCTCACTCCCCTGGCCATGCGCTCCATCGACCATTGGACGCCGCAGCCCCCCGCAAGAGTCACGTGCCCCGAACGTGGTTCATGATATTGCAGGCAGTTTGGCTAAACGAGGGGGGAAGGAGTGGACTACTAGTTTCTACCGGCGCGGGATACCCTCGGAATCTCTACGGGGACACTGGCAGAGTGTGCGGGACTAGTAACATTGACGATCCAGAAGCCATGAGTGGCGGGCGAACTGGTGGAGTGTAGTACAAGTTACGGAGAAAGTGTCGGAAATCGAGATACTATTCCTGGAGACAGGGTGTGCGTATGACTGGTAGGCGGTTGTCCTGTAGGCTGTAAACTAGAATAAAACACTAGGAAATGTAGAGCCCCGTGTATACTGTGCTATACAAGGCGAAGGATAGATGTCACCGGTAGAGGTAGATTTTACGTGCACAGCAGCTATACTTTCCCACCATTATGACACCCCCTCTACTCAATAGATCAAACCCGACATTTATTGCATATCCGAGAGACTTCCTTCAATTTTCCGTTCTAGGTTCTCACAAATAAGAAATTCATTTTGTAGGATGCTTGTTGATTGAAGTGTAAAAGCGTCATAGCCTCTGGGCGCTTTTTTATGGGAAATTGTGGTTTTCTTGCCGTTTTGGAACGCCAATTGGATGATCTTAAAGGCTGCTAAAAAATTGATTTATCTCCGGTGACCCTAAGCTTTTCGTGTATGAAAGTTAGGCATAGTTCTGAAGCTCGTACCCGTATTTCTTTGTACTCATTGGGCAATCGGGGAAGGAAATTCGACTGCTTCAACTCGCCTACACTAGCGGCGACTCCTATCCCTACCCCCATACATAGTCCACGCACAGTACGAGAAAACCAAAGCGTGGAGGGGCATGAGATGGTTCTCAGACTAGACAACGGCGCAACTCTATCGACTACTAACAAGCTAGCTATGTTATTGAAGGAGTGATGCCCGTCTAGCAAGTTATGTAGCACAGCTGAAACACAGGCAACTCAGTAAACCTAAAACCCTTTGAGCGGGCTCGTGAGGGACGCGATAAAAGTCAGGGAGAACAAAAAACTGAATGTTTTGGAGACGGCCAAGAGGCTGAAGGCGTTACGGGGGAAGCGATCCCAGCTCGAAAGGAGTAGCCGAGTGGAAGAGGAAGAGGTAATAGATGAGTTAAAGCTTTGTAGATCATTAATCCAATCAATATTCTGTTGTTTGTCTCACGGAAAACTGAAGATTGGGAGATCTTAAGGAAGGGGTTATGAAAGAGCAATGGGGTATGCGGTGATGATGGAAAGAGCGCTGGATGCCGAGAAGCGGTTCGGGAAAGTGGTGGTAGTACGATGACACCAAGTGGGAGTGACCGTTGTATGTCTGTATGCACTGAGTAAAGCACCGCATATTTCATGCACGGGGTCAGGGTGGCAGGAGTTCGATTAAAATAAAGAGGCAATTGGACGAATAGTATTCAATTTACACAGATGTAGAATTCCCCAAATTGGGAGCGTGCTCAATGATAGCGTATCCGAGACCACCGCTATCATGCCAGTAGTGCGGGTTAAGTTTGCACAACAAATCCACCTCTCCCCGACTTAAAACAGCTTAGCCAATCATCGTGGAGGGTGACTGCCATGGGGCCTCGGGTAACCTCTCGATTCATGTCGTGCCAGTACGAGTATTACACTGCCGCATGCGCACATTTCCTTTCTCCTGTGCCGAAGGACACCAGCTCCAACCGCACGATCACACAAACCAATGTACTGTACTCGAGTAAATTACGTGCTCTAGCCTTATTGCTTAGTAAATTACCGGTACACTATCAAACATAATAATTGGGCCTCGCGCGCTACCTTGGCCGTCCAAAATTCTATCTTCAGTAGAGCTGAGTGGGATGTGTGTTGCCACATGTCATTTTCTGGCCATTTACCGACACCCCAGATTAATCACCGTATGCCAGCCTCGGGCCACCTCCCATACCACCTGTCTCATTCCCGTCCGCAGTTCCTACGGCTGGACCGACTGCGCTTACGCCCAGAAAATAGTCTGCTCGCTTTCATAGGCCTGACAAAATTATGATTGATCCAGGGCAGGTGTGTCATGTCTTCGATTTCACTGTTTCATGGGCCGGCTCTGGTTTTGGGAACTCGATCGATTTTGGGGTAAGATTGTGGGCTGGTTTAACCTCGCAGATGGGACAGCCTGCTGTTCTGTGAACGGGGGTGCTGTGTCATACGACACCGGCGTAATGCGCCCTCCCAGGAGCGGCTGAACTCTATTCGTGTATTGGCATGGTTGGTTACACGAGTATGCTCAAATTTCTACACCCCGCAGTTCCCACCGATAGAGCACCCAAAGGTGTATTCCAGAATGCACAGCTACTGCACTAAGTACTTGAACTGTGCTCACGCTCGTGGTATCCAGGAAAATCCTCTCCGGTCCGGAGATTGTTGTCAACTTATCATCTCATGTAGGCTCTTCTAGGGCGTAAAAGGGCATGCATCAAATTATGATTATTGTCCAAAGCCAGCACTTCCCAGACTATTATATGGGGAAGTTGGCTACAGGGTTAGGGTACCGTATTCTTCACTGGTCTTGAGCGTCTTCCCCGCCAGCCTGATTGCCCAAGACTTCCGGATTGCTCGTACTGAACTTTCACCCTTCTTACCATCGCGAAACGCTGTCGCTCTAATCCCCACCCCTCACCCCTACGCCAGACCCTAAGGCTCCTTTGAAGTGAAATAGCCAGACCCGGAACCGGGATTACATGCCAAATCTCCCTCAAAAGTAGGGAATTATTCATCTCCATATTCAAGGTTAGGTCCTCGGCAACCCGTTCTATGGTACCAGATCTCGCGGTATTGACATGTCTTAGCGCGAGCGAAACGATTTTGAAAAGCCTCGGTTGGCGAGATCGTCCACCTTTCCCATTTCACAGACGCTAGGGATATCTCGTTAATTATTCCTCTTTCCTACCCAACCTTTGAAAACAGTATTACAGTAAGCCGAGAACTAGAGCATAGGATGGACCGGTAGGCTCCCCCTCCCTCCAATGTCTACAATTTCAAAAATAATGAGCACGTGCCTAATACCCTTCCCAGAGGAATCCAGTGCGATACTAGGGGAGACTTCAGCGCAAACTCCGGGGATTACAACGTTTTCGGAAGTAATAACAACAATAACGTAAACGCGGGCTACCTGAACCATGGTGGAAATCACGGAACAATTTATCAAGGATGTATGTTTGGAGCTGGGGACGGAGGTATTATCAGCTTTCCCTAGCGGTTTCTGGCAAAGATCTAATGCACTATTACAACTAGAACAAGCACCCAGGCCGTATCGTATGATTCCCTACGGCAGAAATAACAAGTTCACTGGCCGCAAGGATTTAATTGAGTCGCTGAGGAGGTATTCTGAGCGCGAAGGGCACAACCGGATCGCGCTCCATGGATTGGGCGGTTCTGGGTATGTATTCATGATCGCCATTTGAGGAGCCTACTAACCTCGTTTAGAAAGACCCAGATTGCCCTCGAATACCTCTATCGGCGCGCAAGCGAGAGCGAATGTGATGTTTTCTGGGTGCACGGGAGTGGCCTACCAAAGTTTAGCGACGACTTTAGAGCGATAGCAGAACATGTTCGGATTCCACCACCCAGCGCCGAGCCAGACGGAGAGGGGCTCCTGTTCAATATCAAGAGGTGGTTTGAAGGTCCATCCAGTGGCGATTGGATGCTGGTTATTGACAACGCCGACAATGAGGAGGACTTTATGGGCAACCGCGGTCGCATTTCCAAATTTGTACCACAAGGGTCTCGGGGTACCTTGATACTCACCACGAGATCAACCCAAGTTGCATTACGAGAGCGCTGTGAAACGATTGAGGTCAGAAAAATGGCGGAGAATGATGCCCAAGAATTGCTTTTGAAGCTCTTGGGTAACGTGAACTACTCGAGAGATGGAGAAAAAGAGGCGATCACAATGATCCTGCAATCTATACATCACATCCCACTGGCTATCATAGGCGCAGCAGCCTTCATGACAGAAACCCACACTCCTCCTTCTACCTACTGGTCTATTTTTCTCGGAAGCGACGAGCACGCCAAGAGGCTTCTTTCACGGCCATTTTGCGATATCCAACGAGAGGCCGACATTACTGAGAGCACCCTCACTACGTATTTCATCACCTTTGACCGGATTGCAAGGGGGATGCCCCTAGCGGCGGATCTTTTGCGTTTAATCGCCTTCTTCGATCGTCAGAACATACCCGAAGAGCTATTGCGCCAAAGCGGTATGGAAGGGATAGACGATCAAATGCAGTTTCGTGAGGCAATTGGAAAACTATTAGGATTTTCGCTAGTTACGGCCATCACACATGAGGACAAGACATTTTACGAGCTACATCGATTGGTGCAACTGTCTTTGCAAGTGTATTTACCAGCACAAGAGTTAAGTCGATGGAGGGCCAACGCACTGAAAGTGGTTTCAAGGGTTTTCCCTCGGGATTGGATCACGTGGAAGGATGTTAGCTCGGCATACATTCCTCATGTACTTGAAGTAACCAACAATTCAACGGATCCCATTGCCGAAGAGCTTAGTTTTCGCCTGGGATGGTACTTTCATGATATGGGTTCATACAATAACGCAGAAACTCAATTGCGTCGATGTATTGCACTTCGGGAGGAGAGCAAAGAGCATGACTGGGATGAGGAGGGTCCGAGGAGAGTTCTATTCCTGGGTGTGATATGCATACATCAAGGAAAGGGAAATGTAGGCGAGGACATGCTTCGGAGATTATTAGAGCATATTGGGAAATCGTTCGACCCAAATCATCCAATCGTCCAGGACGCAATTCAACACTTTGCTTGGGCGCTATCAATCCAAGGAAAGTACGAGGAATCGCAGAAGATGTATTGGCGTGGACTAGAGGGGGACGAGAAGATTCATGGACCAGACCACCCAAACACCCTAACAAGTGTCGACGGCCTGGCTCTGGTGCTGAAACACCAAGGAAAGTACGACAAATCAGAAGAGATGCATC